CCCCACCCGGGGCCGCCCCGCCTGCAAGGGCTGGGAGCTCGCCTGGGTTTGGGGCCTGGGGCTGGGCATGGGAGGGGAGGCAGGGACTGCGGGCAGAACCCGGCGACTGTGCCCCAAGTCCGCACTCATACTGAGGCCGCACCCCCGAACTCCGCGCACCATGGAAGCAAGTGGAAGAACACAGCATTTTTAAAAAGTTTATATAAAAATCAAGAATGGAATTTCAGCCCTAACCGGTTTGGCTCAGTGAATAGAGCATCGGCCTGGGGACTGAAGGGTCCCAGGTTCGATTCCGGTCAAGGGCACATGCCTGGGTTGTGGGCTTGATACCCAGTAGGGGGTGTGCAAAAGGCAGCCAATCAATGATTCTCTCATCATTAATGTTTCTCACTCTCTCTCTCCCTCTCCCTTCCTCTCTGAAGTCGAGTGTAAGGCTGGCCGGCGCGCTGAGTGGTCTTGGTTCCGTCGCCCTCACTAAACGCAGCTCTTCCAGTTAGTGACTGTACGAGGAAGGAGGGAAAGAAAAGGCAGCCACTAAAGTTTAAACTAGTGAACGTAAGCTGTGTGAGGGAGATGGAAGATGACCGCAGGGAAAATACCTCATAATCGTTGCAGCCAAGATCCCGTGATGGACACTAAAAATGGGTGGTGGAAAGTTATGAGGAGAAACAGGATATTTGCATGATCTCAAAGTATTTCCCCCCAAGATACTCATTAACGACAACGAGAAAAAGAGTAATTTTACAATAGAGACACCACCTTAGCCCAGGGATCAAAGTTAACATCACCAAAAATGAGACTGCAGCGTTCCTGGAGCGTCCATGGGACGCACCTCTGGATTCCTGCCCCAAATGCTGGGTCTCCGTCTAATAATGAGCAACCATCAGACGAACCTCAGTTGAGGGATGTTTTACAAGATAACCAGCAGTTAGAATGTCCTGGAAGACAAAGCTGAGGAGCCGTCACAGAGTAAGGAGATCCGGACCCTAAGCTGCCACGCGAGGGTCCTGGCTCGGTTCCTTGTCTGCATTCCGGCTGCCGTAAAAATACCAGAGATTCGGGGGCAAAAACACAGTTTTTTTCACCTTCTGGAGGCCGGGAGGGCGGATCCGGCTCCGGCGCTCTGCGTGTTGGTGAGGCCGCGTCCTGGTTCACAGGCTGCGCCCTCGGCCTGTTCGCGGTGGAAGGGGCCCAGCGCTGGGCCTCTCCTGTGAGGGCACTGATCCCGGTCCTGGGGCCCCACCCTCGTGGCCTAATCACCCCAACCTCCCCGTCTAATAGTCACATTGGAGGGTAGGCTTCCACTCGAATTCGGGGAGACACAGATATTCAACCCATAACAGTCCTGGACCAGAAAAATGACTTCACAGGAGAAATGCTGTAATTCAAATAAGGTCTGTATGTGTCTGTGTCTGTGTCTATAATAGGATTGTGTTGATGTTCACGTCCTGGCTTCAATACCTGGCCTGTGCCATGGTAACATTGGGGGAAGATGAGCAAGGGACATGAGAGAATTCTATTTCAAGATAAAAAATCTAAGAGAAAATAGTCCTCACCTCAGGAGTTGCCAGGAGGATTGATGGAGGGACTGCAGGTGAGAACTCTAAATTCTTGGTGCTGCTAGCACCAGATGCTAATGAAGAAATCCCAGATTTTCAACTACAGGAGGAATCATTGTGTGTGTGTGTGGAGGGTCACAAATTGCTTAGGATTTCAAGAAACCCCGATGGCCGCGAGTGTCCAGAATTAAGCCTCTTTTCCCGGTTCTTCCTCACTTGAAAGAACAGAATGAAGAGAGAAAATGTCACAGATAACCCTTAGGCTGGGCTGTGTTACACTCAAATCTCTACTGCACCCCCACCCCCACCCCTGGGATGAAGGTCAGTTTTGGGAGGTCGGGAGGCCCCTATAGAGGCTGACGGCTCCGCACATAACCTCGACTTCAGAATTCACGCCCCTTCGCAGGGGCAGCCTGCCCTCAATGGAGATACCTGCTTGAGTTAAGAAATTTCCTCCTGCCCTAACCGGTTTGGCTCAGTGGATAGAGCATCGGCCTACGGACTGAAGCGTCCCAGGTTCGATTCCGGTCAAGGGCATATACCTTGGTTGTGGGCACATCCCCAGTGGGGGGGGGGGTGCAGGAGGCAGCTGATTGAAGTTTCTCTTTGATGTTTCTCATTCTCTATCCCTCTTCCTTCCACTCTGTAAAAAAGTCAATAAAATATATTTTTTTTTTAAAAGAAATTTCCTCCTGGGTTCATTGGAAATTGGTTCTGCTGTCCTGTTTTTTTTGGTGTTTTACACAGCATGGTTCCATTCATCTTTCCTATTCCCACCTGCATCTGACCTTCAGCTTGTCGCCATGGAGAATTTAATTAGTGGCCAAGAGCTGTTGTTAACAACACATTGTATTTCAATTATGAGCTGACTGGGTACCCTACTAAAGAGGGGTAGGTGTGTGTGTGTGTGTGTTTAGAAAGACTGAGCCCCAAGCTTCTTGGGTTTTTTTTTTTGCCTCAAAACACACGTACACAACACACACACTAAAGGAGTTTAAAGGAAAAGCCATCATTCCAAAGATCCTGCTTTCTAGTCATGACGTGAAACCCAGCAGTTCTAAAAGAAACAACAGATGGCACGGCTATCACGGACTTCTCCGTCAGGACACCACACACTGGGTAGTGGATGTGAGGGGGTCACACGGAGCTCCGTGGTGGTGAACGAACAACTCTGTGTTTCGACTGTGGTGCTGGTTACAGGAATCTGCTCAGATGACAGAGTGGAAGAGAACCACTCACACACACATACACAAAGAAACGAGAGCATGTGAAAGCTGTTAAAATGTGAATAAGGTTTAGTCTAGTTAATTGCATTGTACTGTGAACTTCCTGGTTTGACAATGTACTATGATTAAGATGTAAGATGTAATCTGGATGATGGGTACATGGGACTTTGTGCTATTTTTGCAACTTTCTAGATATTATTTGTTTAAAATGTTTTATTATTAATTTCAGAGAGAGAAAGGGATAGAAACATCAATGATGAGAATTACTGATCGGCTGCCTCCTGCACACCCCTGACTGGGGATCGAGCCTGCAACCCAGGTATGTGCCCTGCTGAGGAATCAAACCGTAACTTCCTTGTTCATAGATCAGTGCTCAGCCACTGAGCCACACTGGCTGGGCTGTATCTAGTTATTTTTGAAAAATACCATAAACATGTTTGAAAGGAAAATGACAAACCAGGAAAATATCTGCAGTTGGTATGACACAGGGTTTTATGTCTACCACATATGGTTTCTTGCCAATTAGGGAAGAGATGAGCATTTATATTGGGAAAGGAATCAAGCACGTGCACAGGGAACCTCAAATAGCATCAGGGACCCTCCTGCTCATGGAATCCCCATCAGGTGGAGGAAACTGGCCATGTATCAACAGGAAGAAAAAGACATCTCTAACCTGCCATCCCGAGATACTGAGACCTACTGTCAGACACCTGTCCTTCTGTAGCTGCCCACCATTCATTCCCCCTTCCTGTTGGCACCCCACTTGTTCCCAGACCTCATTATCAGGGCAGAATGTGACTAACTGAAGTCTGGCCAACAGATGCTGTCTCATGACAATCTGAATGTTGACTGGGTGAGGCAGGGGGAGAAGGTTATGATGATGAGTTCCTGCTTTGACATGATTGAGGGTTGCCAGTTGCCAAGTTTCCTGGGGCAACCCCTGAGTCCTCTTTCTCACCAGTTTATATCATTCTGTGACTTAGGACTGGTTTCCTCTCCATTTTATTTCACAGTGGGTTAAGTAAAAGACATCTTGTTCCTGAGATGATTTTAGGCATCCTACCCGTAAAACATTTTGAAATCAGCAACATAGTTCAGTTTTCAACCTGTATGACAATGAACTAATTTCCTTCATATATAGTGTCTATAAACCAATGAGGTCAATAGATCAAAAGAAAGGGGGCAAATTATTACTAGTAAATTAGTGTCTTTAAAACATGAAAATATTCCCACACATAAAATTTTTTTTTAGTTCAAGTTACAGTGAGATGCCATGTTTCACCTCTTAAGATTGAAGATAAAAATGTTTGAAAACACATAATACTGGTGAAGGAATGGAGAAACTGACTCTTCTTCCCTCTTGGCAAAGTGCATACCAAGGTGTTCTCTTTGGAAGGCAAGTTGACAGTATTCTTCAAAAATTAAAAATGTAAAAAAAAAACAACAAA